GGGCGGATGATATTTTAAATTGGGGTGGTGGGGTCACAAGGTGTCGCGATATACTTACCTTGCACCCAAGGATTCGACTAATGGTGTCGTTCCTTTGCTACTTTAATATGTGTCCTAGTTCTCCTTCCTGTTTGTTGTAGCCGCAACTCGGGTTTGCCGAGATAAGGCAACTTGTTGGAAGGTGCATATCATTTGTCTGACTCGGGGGTTATCGTGGTTACCCTGGGTTGGTACGTATTGCAGTCCGTCCCTTTTAGCAATCATGGCTGTAACGCCTTTTCTTAGTAGTCATCCAAATCTTCCTTTTCTTTGGTCAGGGTCCTTGTCAAGTCTTTTGACGGGAGTTAGGACGAGGCGATTTATCGGGTAAGTGTACGTTACCCAGTTGTTGAAGTAAACTTATCTATTCGCACCCTTACCTGGTGTGGTAAGCGTAGGGGGAGGTTCCTTTAAGTTAGAGAGGGATGAAGTGAGGGGAGGTTATGTGTAGGTTTCACAATCTTACTGCGCGTCCTAAGATTCCTGGATCCTATGTTCCTAAGTACCTAGAGTTCAAGCCTAGTGTCCTAAAGTCCGGTCTTAAGAGTCTTATCCTAGGGTCAAACTTAAGCTCTGATACCAACTGTAACACCCCAGATTTTCAAGACATTTAAAACTTATAAAATAAAGGTATTATCTCATTAAATCGCAAAACGTAATACAGGTGTACGGGGTGCTATGCCACACCTGAGCTAGAGAACCCAGGTGCACAGGCTACTAACTAATATCCTCAATAATGTAAATGCATAATATGGCACGCAGGCCAAAAAGGAAACTATCTACTTCTACGTTCCGAGTTCTAGCGCGCTCCAGTGACTTATTCTTCTGTGCCTGAAAGCCAAATATATCTGTTCAGCGAGAGATGCTGGTAACCCACTCCAACGCGTTGAAATACAATACATATAGAGATATATATAGATATATGAAAACCATTTTGAGCATGAAGATATATCCTACGAACTCTAGCTTTAAAACCGGGAATGACTTGACAGATAAGGCCAGACACAAGCAACAGTTATAACGAGCATATGCAGTTCACAATAGATAAGGTAGATAAGGCAAAGCATAAACAATAATCATAACCCATCATAAACAATCCCCAATATGAGACCCACAGTCACATCCCAAGGCACTCATAGTCACAACTCGTCCATATCACACACATAACGCACATTGTTGGCGCCACAGGACCGATCGCATGCCCATACATGAGGGTCAGCGCATATAGCTCTGACACAGCCCCGCAGCACCATGCCTCGTATCGCAACATGGGGAGGTCGATCGCAACCGACCGATGAACTGCAACTCATCATAATGTTTGATCGCAACCAAACAGTGGACCGCAGCCCAAGAGAGTGTCATCTGACCGCAGCCAGGATAAAGGACGAAGCGCAGCTCGTATAGAAACGTTTGATCGCAACCAAACGGTGGACCGCAGCCCAAGAGAATGTCATCTGACCGCAGCCAGGAATACTAATCTGACCGCAGCCAGCTTCTGAACCGCAGCTCAGGATAACCAATCCGATCGCAACCGAATTGGGGTAGCACACACACGTAACACATAGCAAGCACATACAACCCACGTTACACATCGGGAAGGGGGATAAAGCGTATAACAACCCTATGCGTGATCCATCACTTACTAAGAATAATCCTAAGGGGTTCATACTTCCTTCACCTAGGTCAACGGGATACCAATTCATCTAGCATGCAATACAAGAGACTCATAAACCTACGAACGGTACCCGACACATCAAACTAGACATAGGCACAATAAACGGAGTCCGTTGGGATTCCACGGGGATCGGGGAAACATCAAACGGGGAAGCCGAGGTCCCGGGTGGGGTGAGATTCCAGTGGGTAGCCGGTGGGTGGGGGTCCACCCGCCGGCTGCCCGCCGGCTGTCACTGTTCCGGGCAGCGGGTGCCCGGCGGGCAGCTGCCCGCCCGCCGGCTGCCCGCTGCCGGAGGTACCCGAGATTGCCGCGGGTAGGTGGCGGGTCCCCTACCCCCACCTACCCCCCACTGACTCTTTTCATCACTTTTCACCCCGGGAACCGTTGTGGAACCCGAAACCATGCTTAGACACTTTTCAACGTAATTAACGACAACACATAGACAATTAACGGATCAAATACGATAGACGAACGGCACATAACCTAACATGCTTTTCTAATCATAATCAACACCCAAACATGCGATTTCCCACCCGATAATCCAAGAATCAAAGCATACGGTATAACCTAGGGTTCTAATCACTTTTATATCAACAAGAATACGATTCGTCTTCTAATTGCAAGATTCGGTAGGAACAACACATAATCATCAAGGATAGCAATTAATCATCAAGAACATCATAATCATCAAGAACAACACATAATCATCAAGAACATCACAATTATCAAGAGACTCCCAATATCAAGATTATCAAGATTCCCCATGGAATCATTAAATCAACATCAATAATAATCATAGTAATTCGTCATTCACAATCATACGGGGGAAACCCTAAGGGGAAATCATAGCTATGAAAACAGGTTTTGTTGAGACATGGGTTACCTCTTAGCCTTAATTAGTTCCTTGGCTATGAAGGGTCTTTCTTTAAGCTTTCTTGCTTTCTTGCTTTCTTCTAAGGGAATTCTTGGAGCTCTCCTGGGGAGGTGGGGCGTTTATGTGTGTGGGGGGTTCTAGGTGCCTCTTAAGTCTCCTATATATATATTTAGGAGTCCTAATTAGGAACTAATATTATAGGCTTGCTAATTCTATTCCTTTTGGGACTAAGGATTGGGTTCCATGGTCCATAGTGGACCATATTAATTAATTAAAGAGAATCCTAATCATAGTCTGAATAGTAAAAGACCTACTTCCTTTATTCCTAATAGATAACTAGGTCTAGGATTCCTAATCAGAATCTGAATAGTAAAAGGTTTACTTTCTTTATTCCTAATAGGCTTAAGGCTCTAATTTAGGCAAGGGCCCACGGTTCATGGTGGGTCTTATTAATTAATTAAAGGGAAACCTAACCGAATTAAATCATATTTAATTATTATTAACGGGATTAATTAAATAATTAATCCGGGATTGAAGGCCGTAACACGGGGTGTTACAGATAATATCAACTCCCAATCCAGGGCGACATTTCCCATGAGCCCAGCTGCTCCAAAGAAGCATTTTTCGAACGAGTACAAGGCTTGGTTGATCGATGTGAGTGAAAACCTTCTCGAGAATCATTTCACAGACATAGCCGTTAACGGAAACCCAAACGTACCTGTTGGCGAGGAAGGAACTCAAGGACAAAGAGACCTATTGACCACCTCAAGGAACAATAAAACACCTGCACAAGAGGACATGTCATCTCGGGATAGAGCCTCAGGACATGCCGTTCGAAGGAGCAGGGAGGAGCAAGCGAGGCAGCGAAGCTCGGACGAGGACGCTGGTAGTGATGACGACCAAGATCGCTGTTGGAAACGGCCTAGAGGGAGACCATTGAACCAGGTTAAGATACTTCCCCAAATTCTTTCGTTTCGTATATCGTTGGACTTTGGCCTTTGTTAACGTACATGCACTACTTCTTACAGGATCCTGCCGAGCCACATGTTAGCAACGATGTCCAATCATCAAATCACCAGTCTTCAATGGGACAAAGTGGCGGACGCTCTAATACCCTTGACCTCGAGGTAGAATCCCACCAGTCGACGTTGCCCTTAAACACAACTCCTCAGGAGACGCAACCAGAGCCGTCCCAAGCCTCTATCTTCCCCGGCGAGGAGTCGTTTATATCACAATACATGACTTTCATTGCGGGAGTTTGGAGTAGTATCTGCAGGAAGCTTAATGAGATTCCAGCTGAAAGAATTTCTTCTTTCCAAGGAAGCGTTGAAAGACAACTCCAAGAAATGGGACGGGACGGGGTGGACCTATCAATATTGAAGCGACGAGTGGCCAAGTTCTTTAACAAAGCCAAAGATTACGATCGGGCGCGGTCGCAGCTCTCGAATGCACTGCCCGTTGAAACCCAAGCCACGAAGCTAGTTCTAATGCAAGGTGTCCTTATAGAAGCTCAACGGAAGTGTTCTCAAACCGAAACATTTTTTCTTGATGAACAGAAAACCCTCAAAGACGCCGCTGATCGAAAAGCCCTCCTGGAGAAAACGATAAAGGTTGCGCAGGAAGAGTTGAAGGATATTGAAGCCAAGAACCCGGAACTCCAAGACCGTGTGACGAAGGCTCAAGAACAACATAACGCATCGCAAGAGGCCGTGACCACCGCGGAGGAGGAAGTTAAACGTATTCGAGACTGCCCCACGTTGACAGATGAAGATGAAGAAAAGCTTACTTCAATCAAATGAGAGCTGGAAGCGTATAAGGAAGATCTCATGAGCTTTAGAATACTTTAGGTTTTTTTTTTTTTTTTTTTTTTTTTTTTTGTATAACGCATGAGTTTTATACTTGGAAACAAGACTTGAATACGACTTGAATTCTCTTATCTTTTCAACAATACTTGCAAACAATTGAACTTGAGAATGAACAGAAGCAACTAAGTCTAAACCCAAACGAGTCACTCTAATAGAAATATGACAAAAGAATTCACCCGTAATTACAACATGAATAGAGATGACCCATCTCCAATACATCTACATTATTCGAACAAACGTGACATAAAAGGGACACAAAGGTGTTTATTTTAGTTATGACTGAACTTAGAAGAGGAAGTGTTTCTAAGCTGCCTACGTACTCCTGCGAAGGAGATCAAGTCAAACGTAGTTCAAAGGACCATTTGAATAGGTAGGGCCGTTCACAGTTTAAACTCATGCGGGCCAGGAATTTACCGTACACAGTTTAAGCTCGTGCGGGTCAGGAGCGTCTATGACTTGGGCCCACCCATAGACAAGCGAGATGCATTAGCAGTTTAACCACGTGCTGCATTTTTGGTGGATATCATTCATCATGTAGTCCGTGTGCTTAGGGATGATAGATCTTTAAGAATTTCCCGTTAATAGGGCCAACTCGCACACCATCTTCATCAATTAGCTTGTAAGCACCTCCTGAGTATGCTTCTTGTACCACGTAAGGTCCATCCCATTTTGGAGTCAACTTGTGCCCAGTTTTCCTTGTAATAATGATAGGTCTACGAACCGCCAACACCTTGTCACCAACCTGAAATGAGCGAATCTTTACCCTCTTGTTGAAAGCTCTAGAAATTCGAGCTTGATAGCATTCTAAACTTTGTTGGGCCTGCAATCTCTTCTCATCGAGAGCTTCTAACTCTGCCAACCGCAACTTTACATTATCCTCGTCTGTAAGGCCTTCTTGGATAGCTAACCTTGGAGAAGGTATTTGGCGTTCAAGAGGCAAGACTGCTTCAACCCCATAAACCAGTGAGTATGGAGTGCTTTGTGTTGGTGTACGGTATGTAGTTCTGTATGTCCACAGTGCTTCTTCCATCCTCTCTTGCCAATCACGTTTTGACTTCGACACCACCTTTTTTAGTAGATTGCATAGAGTTTTGTTAAAAGCCTCGGCAAGTCCATTTGCAGCTGCATAATAAGCTGATGAATTTCTTTGCTCGAACTCAAAAAGTTTGCAGATTTTATCCATCAATTTATTATCGAATGGTTTCCCGTTTTCGATTAGGTTATACCGAGGGATGCCAAAACGATAGATAATGTGAACTCGGATGAAATCTGCAACATATTCATTCTTCACTTCCTTTAAAGCCACTGCTTCAGCCCACTTTGAGAAATAATCGGTGGCTGCTAATATATACGAATGCCCTGCTGATGACTTGGGTGTAATAGGACCAACCACATCGAGCCCCCATGCATCAAATGGCCACGATGCTACCGTCGGATGTAGCGGTTCAGGAGGTTGATGGATAAAGTTCGCATGAAATTGACATGCTTGACATCTCCGTGCATAGTCTATGCAATCCTTCACCATCATAGGCCAGTAGTAACCCATTCTTTTGATGTGAAAATGTAACTTAGGACCAGACTGATGAGCACCGCACACTCTAGAGTGAGCCTCCTCCATCGCTTGTAAAGCTTCCTCTTCGCCTAAACATCGAAGAAACACACCATCAAATGAGCGCCGGTATATAGCATCCTTGAAATATATGAAGCGAGGAGCTTGACGTCTTACATCTACCCGCTTACGAGGGTCTTGAGGTAACTTCCCATCAACAAGGTAGTCAATCAATGATTGCCTCCAATCCTCTTTATCTACCTCATAGAAAGAAGAAGTCGGGAGTTCGACAATGTCGTCAAGAGAGCCATCGTCCTCGAAGATTGGAGGGACTACCCATTTTTGGCATACTCGTAGCCGAGCCTCATCTATAGGATGTGATATAGTTGAAGCCAAAGCAGCTAAGGCATCGGCTTGCTTATTATGTTTCCTTGGAACGTGCTCCATCGTAGCATCTCCTAGCCAATGCAGGAGCGTCTTTGCATAACTGTTGTATGGGATCAACTCAGGCTTTTTTACTTCGTAAACCCCAAGTACTTGGTTGATAATTAGTTTGGAGTCCCCATATATGTTAACCCTTAGTTGCTTCATATCGGCTGTAATTTCAAGTCCCAAAATGAGTGCCTGATACTCGGCAACATTATTCGACCAGCGTTCTGTCAAGGTAAATGAATAAGGAAGCACTTCCCCTTCAGGCGTAACAAAGACAACTCCAGCGCCTGCCCCCTCTTTGTGTGCCACTCCATCAAAGTACATCTTCCATGGAGGTAAAACTTCAACCACAAGCACGTCCTCATCAGGTAGGTCACTGGACAGCTCCCATTCGGCAGGAATTGGATGATCAGCTAGGAAATCCGCTAAGGCTTGCCCCTTGATGGACTTCTGGGGTACATAAACGATCTCAAACTGTTGAAATATTAAATACCACCTCGCAAGTCGATCGGAAAGAACAACCTTTGCCATGACATACTTCACTGGGTTTGCCCTGGAAACTAGTCGAATTGTATGTGCTTCAAAATAATGCTTGAGCTTCCTGATGGCGAATACAAGGGCCAGACACAACTTCTCAATTGGCAGATATTTGAGCTCATTTGGCGTCATCATTCTACTTAAATAATAAAGGGCATTTTCTTTCCCATTATCATTCTCTTGCGCAAGTAAAGCACCAACAGAGCTTTCTTGGGCGGAGATATAAAGGATCGGCGAGCGTCCTGGAATTGGAGAAGTCAGCACAGGCGGCTTCATTAAATAGGAATTGATGCTTTGAAATGCATTATTGCAGGCCTCGTCCCATACAAACGGGACACCCTTCTTCATTAATCGGCTAAAGGGCTGACATCTTCCTGCTAGGTTTTATATGAATCTTCTTATATAAGCCAACTTCCCTTGCAAGCTTTTAAGCTCATGAAGGTCCCTTGGCTCAGGCATCTTCATTATAGCGTCGATCTTTGCTTGTTCGATCTCAATGCCCCTATGTCGAACAGTAAACCCAAGGAATTTGCCAGCAGCAACCCCAAAAGCACACTTCAGGGGGTTCATTTTGAGTTGAAATTTCCGCAAGCGATCAAAGACTTGTCTTAGATGCATCATGTGATCTGTGCGGAGTTTCGACTTCACAACCAGGTCATCTACGTAACATTCCACCATTTTATGTAGCATGTCGTCAAATATAGTCTGCATGGCCCTTTGGTATGTAGCACCTGCATTTTTCAAACCAAAGGGCATCACTTTGTAGCAGTAGATACCTTTTGGCGTACGAAACACTATAAACTCCTCATCTTCTGGCGCCATGCGGATTTGATAGTAACCGGATGAGCCATCCATGAATGACATGATCTCGTGTCCAGTTACGGCATCTATCATTAACTCTGTTGATAGGGAGCGGGAAGTCATCTTTCGGGCATGCAACGCTAAGATCTCGGAAGTCTACGCACACGCGGATCTGGCCATTCTTCTTGCGCACAGGCACAATGCTGGATATCCAAGTTGGGTATTTAACTCTGCGAATGAAACCAGCCTCTATAAGCTTGTTGACTTCTGCTTCGTTTGAGGGAATGAGCTTGGGGCGGAAGCGCCGTTGAGCTTGCTTAACCGGGCGACACCCCTTTTTCACTGCCAAGCGGTGCACGGCTACCTTTGGGTCCAACCCTGGCATCTCCTTATATGTCCATGCAAATACATCGATATATTCTTTCAAAAGTGTGACATATATTTCTTCATCTTCGTTGGAAAGGAGTGAACTAATGAAGATAGGTCGAGGACTTTCAGGAGTTCCTAGATCCACCTCTTTTAGTTCGTCCACTGCAGCTTGTACCCCTTCTTCTAGCTCTTGAGGCGCATCCTCTACATCTTCACCCTCGGTTGGAATCTCATCATATAATGTTATATGAAATGACGATGCCATCTCATCTTGACTTGGTGTTGCCTCACAACTTAAATCAATGTTTTCTTGACTTCTTTCTTGCACTTGGGTGTGTACAATGGTTCTTGGTTGGACCTTCAAAACTTCACCACACGAGACATGGATATTAACTTCTCTTCTCATGCGAGATGGAACGACACTCCTGAGCCTTTTTGAGGGTTCCATTTCAGTAGGAGGGTTGGTCTGCTCCTTCGAACTCTGAGTAGGCCCAATTCTGTCATGTACTGATTTTCTCTTAGCGGGTTTGGGATTCGGCCCAAGTCTGCGGAAGACTGATTGTTGTGATTCTACATCTCCGATTCTATCAAAAACAGACTGTTTCTTGTCACCTTCCTCCTCATCTGTAGAAGTGATGCAATTACTTGTGGCTCGGTTTATGAATATTCGCACTGGCTTAGGGGGAACATAACCCATTCCTTTCCGTTCATGCGGCTCCTGCTAATTTGACTAGCCTTTACCACCAGCTTCTGGGATGAGTTTCCCCAGCTTTTGTGGCTCTTTGGGATCATATCCAGCTTTGAATAGAAGTTTATATGCATTAGGGTCAAAGCCGCCAGTGCGCTTAGCGGGCACTGTTTGACTTGCCCCAACTTGAGCTTCATCTTCAAGCGGTTTAACTGGAGCTGCTTTTAATGTTTCAATCCTTGCGAGTGGGAAAACAAGTTCCTTCTCGCAATGAGCTTGGTCTACAACATTCTTGCCTTTCCACTTTGGATCAAGAGGTGTGTCAACATTGCTTTGCTCAGCCTCCTATACAACTTGTTTCTTCAAGTAAAACTTTGCATCTGCAAAGTATGATTCTGCTTCAATGAAGGGAGTTTCATCAGCGACTACCTTTTCTATCACCCCGCCTTTTTCAAACGTGAGGCATTGGTGCCAGGATGAGGGAACTACTCCATTCTCATGTATCCAAGGCCGGCCCAGCAGCAAGTTGTACGACGTCCTTGCATCTATCACATAACATAGTGTGCTTAAGTTTAGTGTCCCGATCCTGAGGTCGAGTCTGATGGTACCCAGTGCTCTTTGTCCGCCTTGATTAAATCCTTAGATCATTAAGCGGCTTTGAGAGAGCTCATCGGTGGAGATGCCAAGTTCTTTCATAGCTCGGAGTGACAGAATGTTCACAGCCGATCCTTGATCAATCAAAATCCTTTTAATCTTTTGCTCACGAGCATAACCTTCAACAAACAACGGGCGATTATGTGGTGTACCACCAAGCAATAGATCTTCATCCTTAAAAGTTATCTCGGCGGTATAAGACGCGGCTTTGTGGACTTGAACCTCGTCATCTCTCTCAATCACGGGGAATGAACATTCCTCATCTTCAACATGTCTCTCTTTAATACTCAAGCGAGTTCCAGGAATATATGTCCCATGCGGAGGAAGCGTCTTTGGCATGTATTGAGCCAGGGCAACTGGTGTTCGAGACGTGCCGGGACGTCCTCTCATCTTTGTGCCATAGGCGAGGTCCCTTGCTGGCTTTCTCTCAACCCATTGCTTCGTTATTCTCTTCAAAGATCTAACATGTCCATCATTGTTCCTTTGTTTTTTGCGGGTAACAATTACCCAATCCTTCTCGCATACCGGATTGACCTGTGGTAATTCCGGCTGTTGCCTAGTAGCATGTTTCACAATAAATGGAAGTGGGCGTTTGTATTGCTTGCCCCCACCCTCTTCATCACTCTCCTCAACTAAGGGAGCGAACCTTCCACATGAAATTTGGTTGGTGCTGGCAGTTGCATCGGCCAGCTCAATCTTTCCATCACGAGCAAGTCTCATCACCTTATCTTTAAAGACGAAGCATTTTTCAATCGAGTGTCCGAGGAGACGATGATACTTGCAATAGTTGGGGTCGTCTACCTTAGAAGCTTCTTCGGGATGCTTCATCTCCGGTAATTCAATCAACTTAAGCTTTAACAATTCATCAAACATGGGTGTCACATCGGAGTCCAAGAACGGATACTGTTTTTGCTGCATCTCTTCAATGATTCTAGTACCCCTAGATGGGCGGGAAAATGACCTTAGCCTAGGATTTTCAGTTACTTTGGCGAAAACCCGCTGTAACACCCCAGATTTTCAAGATATTTAAAACTTATAAAATAAAGGTGAAATCTCATTAAATCCCAAACAGAGTACGAGAGTACGGGGTTCTATGCCACACCTGAGCTGGAGAACTCAGGTGCACAGGCTAACTAACTAATGTTTCAATAATATAAATGCATAAACATGGCACGCAGGCCGAAAGGGAAACTAACTACATCTACGTTCCAAGCTCTAGCGCACTCCAGTGACTTATTCTCCTGTGCCTGAAAGCCAAATATATCTGTTCAGCGAGAGATGCTGGTAACCCACTCCAACGCGTTGAAATACAATACATATAGATATGTATACATAGATATACGAAGAGTCATTTCGAAGCATGAAGATATATCCTAAGAGACTCTAGCTTTCAAATCAGGGAACCGACTCGACAGATAGGGGTACACATAATCAGTAGTCATAATCAAGTATATACGATTCTCGACATAGGGCACAGTTATAAATAAACACAACCAATAGTCACAATTAAACATGCATAGTTTACTAGCAAGAATCCTATGGTTACGTTTCCATAACAGTCACAACAACAATCCTTCTTATCTTATCACATAGCACACTTTGTTGGCGCCACAGGACCAATCGCATGCCCATACATGAGGGTCAGCGCATATAGCTCTGACACGGCCCTGCAGCACCCTGCCCCGTCGCCACCGACTGATGGACCTTTGTCCTACATAATATTTATATACCTGACCGGTCTTTACCAGCCTGGTTAACAGTTGGGATGGTTCTCAGCCCATTAAACTGCCCGTATAGTGGACCTTTGTCCTATATAATATTTATATACCTGACCGGTCTTTACCAGCCTGGTTAACAGCCGGTATGGTTCTCAGCCCATCCGACTGCCCGTATAGTGGAACTTAGTCCTATATAATATTTATATACCTGACCGGTCTTTACCAGCCTGGTTAACAGCCGGTATGGTTCTCAGCCCATCCGACTGCCCGTATAGCCCGGTTGATCTCAACCAATTCGGGGTGACATGCACACATAACACATAGCAAGCACATGCAACCCATATTAAAACATTGGGAAGGCGGAAAACGTATAACGAAACTTATGCGTGGTCCTCCACAACTAAGAATGCTCTTAAGGGGTTCATACTTCTTATACTTAGGTCAACGGGATACCAATTCAACTAGCATGCAATATATAAGACCCATACAACCTACGAACGGTACCGGAAATATCAAACTAGACCTAGGCACGATAGACGGAGTCCATTGGGACACCACGGGAGTCGGGGAAACATCAAACGGGGAAGCCGAAATCCCGGGTTGGGGTATTTTCCAGCGGGTAGCCGGTGGGTGATGGTCCACCCGCCGGCGTGCCCTGTTCCGGGCAGCGGGTGCCCGGCGGGTCCCCTACCCCCACCTACCCCCCACTGACTCTTTTCATCACAAAAACGTCCCGGGAACCATTGTGGAACTCGAAACCATGCTTAGACACTTTACAACGCAATTAACGCTCAACACGTAGACAATTAATGGATCAAATACGAGAAACGTACGGCACATAACCTATCATGCTTTTCTAAACAAGATCGACACCCAAACATGCGATTTCCCCACCCGATACACCAGGAATAATATCATACGATACAACCTAGGGTTCTAATCACTTTTATACCAACAAGAATACGATTCGTCTTCTAATTACAAGACTCGGTGAGAATATCACATAAGCATCAAGAACGCCATACAATTACCAAGAACGACATATAATCATCAAGAACTCAGCATAATCATCAAGAACACCATAATTATCAAGAATCTCCCAATATCAAGATCACCCA